CTCCGTTACAGTGATATAAAAATTTCAAATCCAGATGAAAATTCGACTGGAGGGTCAACGGCTTAGAGCTCATTAGATGAGGAATCATCTCGAGGTATTATGTTGTGGACGAAGGTGTTGACTGTCGTTATGTATTGTAAAGATATTCTACACTTCAGAGTCTCTATACTTTTGTTATGTATTGAAAGCCATTATTAAGCCATCACTAATTTCTTTTCTCTGTTTTTAAGTTTAATTTTAACTTAAACTTTTCACATTGATATATTCTCAGTGGTAAACGAAGTAGAAATTGTGAATAGAAACGGATTTTGTATTTAACATCAAAGTGAGATATTTCTTGGTGTGTAAACAGGAATCTTAGAGAAGGGGAAATACGTTATAAAACCGGAGCGGAATCAATATCATATAACTGACGATATCCAGATAAAAGGCTAACTAAATCCCTTCTTCAATATCTATCAATATGTGCGTCAATAGGCTTATTATGATGTAATGTGATTACTTTAAAAAGGATGTAATGTTTGGTGGAGCAGATAAAGGTTACAATCTCGTTGTTTATGATCAATATAGTGAAAAACTCGGAAGGTCTTCTGTATATTATATAACAATAGTTTATGTATGTATATAATGAAAAAGTTAATGTTCGCTTGGTGGAATGAATATACATATTTGCTCTTGCGTTATGAAAAACTTCACGAAGCTATACGCTTTTTTGGTCCATCAGAAATTGCATAGATTGCAATTTCGATTCGTTCAATGATTCATATTACAACACCCAATATGAAGAAGGCGTAATTTCATTTTGTTGTTACATGCCATCATTACAGACAGAGAAGCATACGTAACTTAAAATTCAAACACGATTCTCATTGTCTTTCATTTTTACAACAATTTCAAGCAAAATCATTTGCATCGGGCGTACATAATTTTAATAGAATCTCACGTTGTCAGCTGTCTTTTTGCTTTTTCTTGCTTCAATATCTAAATTATCTTCTCTTCTGAAATGCTCTCAACGTGTGCTCGGATAAAAAAAAATTTTATTAAAATAATTGAATTGGAAACAGGAGTTAAATTTTAAGTTTGCATTGTCTACTAGATCTCATCTCATGTAGCAGACACGCATTCAAAGAACTCGTTCAGGAGAGCTTACTGTAAAAAAGAGAATTAAATTTTCAGTATACGTGCATTATGAAGGGGGATGAGCGGAGTAAGCAAACTTAGAAAGAAATTATGTTAACCCGGTTATAAGAAAACAGTTATCTATATGTATGGATATTGCTCTTTTACAATATAATATTGACTGGCATAATCATTTTTGTCTAAACTTCAATATATATGTGTATTAATATTGTTAATGCTTTTTGCATAACTCATTTATCGGTAGCAGATGTCATCAGATACCACAATTACGTTATCGCCTTGATCTCATTTGTGACTTATTGCCTTTTATTGATAGATAAGTATGCCATAGTATCGCTACTAGTTTGCACTGGATATTGGGTGTTAATTGGTTAATATATTATTATATAAGAGAATTATCCGCCCATTGTTTACAGAACAACACCAACACATCATAACACTCTTCGACCCACAAGAGTTTCATTTTCTTAAGGCGGAAATGTGTGTAGTGTAAGCTCTACTAAATGTTCCCATGTTAATCTGCTGAAAGTCGGTTACATTTTAGTGTTTATGATGGTCATTAAAGCTTCTATTTGGTTTAGATACGAAAAAAAACAAAAACGAACTACCGCCTATATGAACTATAAGTCGTAAAATAAGAAATAGACCGCCGTTTATATCAGACTTTAATCATGAACTGTCGCTATTCAAAACTGATAAACAATAGGCATTGACAAAAGCAATTATGTTATAATGCGACAGATTTTTTGATAAATATACTTTATTCAATATGACATATGGAAACTAATAATTGTATAGTTATTATGATGATACTGGTATATCTTTTATATTAATATTCCAAATTTATTTCATTTTTTTGTAATTAACTTTTAATTATGTTGAAGTACAAATTAATGTGATACGCTTTAGTAACGTGAAGAGGAGAATAAGAGAAGCATTGTACATTAAAATTACAGTAAGGAATAAAGTACATAGATGTTTGTAGTTATTCAAACTTTATTCCACCTTTCCAATAATTTTTTTTTGAGAAATATTGATATATGAACATATACATCAATTATGCTACTTTTATCGATATTGGGAGTGGTGACGAAATAGATTTGAATATCCTAAACTCTTAACATACCTATATATGAGTCAGACCAAAATATTATTGGCATTAGGATTACCATGGCCAATGGTTCGAAATATCTTCAGTTTTCAAATGCTTGTGGCATGGAATATTTCCAGTTGTATCCACTTAAAACGTGGTAAACAACGCAAAGTACTCAGACCGTATTGTTTAATTACATTAAAGGTGTTAAACGCATCTGTTCGCTTTCAGAGTTAGATTCTTTAAATGAAAATCAAAGTTATTGGCTGCCGAGGTTCATGCATTTGTATCGGTATGGTTTTATATGTTTCATTTCAATGGTTGGCGGGTTCTGTGTAGAATAAGAAATCCCCTAACTCTTGGAAATATCTGCAAAAGAGGACGATAAAAGCTCTTTCACAGTACAGATGCGATATTACCAAACATGTAATGTTTTAATTTGTTGAAAGCCTCAATTATTTTACTGTTGCCCAATGATAATTCTAAAGTTATCGCCAGTCACACTGCATCTTTCGGTCAAAACGTTATCTAATTTTAGTTTGTTTAAAGATATTGTCCTCTTGGGCATACTTTGGTCATGTGTTTATTTTGCAACACCATCTGGGAGTCGTCCACACTAAACTGTCACAGTGTTTGTCATACAGATCTGAAGTCGTGTTTTATCTTTTAGGCCAGGATTAAAACCATCATACAAATTCTTGTCAAATCTCTTGTTGACAGAATAGTTACATCTCTTTTGTAAACAAGAGCTTGTAAACAAAAGATTATAACTTTAAATGTTTGACAAGTTTTTGTGTGAGGAAACAGGTCCTGTTGATACTCTTTTGTTTTTGACACTTGTCCAATTTGTACATCTGAACAATATATTGAAAATATTTGAACTAGTATATTGTATTTAGAAAATTTAGAAAACGATTCTTTGTAAATATTTGGCAGGTTTTATAGATAAGTCTTTCTTCTGTTTGACTGACACACCTTTAGGGGAAGAACAATACCTGAAACTTATCCTAAAATAACAAAAACATTTATTCATTTTTAGCTGGAGAGTCATATCAAGCTCAATATATTTCTTAAAAGTCCTCAAAAATAGAACATAGTGATATAACATTTGTTTTGAATATATTATTTGAAAGTTTATAGTGGCATTGTGCCAGAACTTGAAATTTAGACGAGCTTAAATTTGACATAAAACTATACAAAACTTAATTTTAATTTTCCTTATTTTGGAAGAATTATTCATATTATACAATATTTTATTTTAATCGAGCCACATTCAAAATTACATCTTTTTTTTATATTGATAGGAATCGATTTCAGATCATTTCCATTAAAATATCCGCAAATGTGAGCATAATTGTTTTAAAACTTACTTTTAAGCCAATCATATACAATTCATCCCTTTTATCTTGTTTAATGTTATCAATTTGAATGCACTTTACTTCTTAAATATATTTATATACATATCTTATGTTAGAAATATTCAAACAGAACTTGAATCATGTTGTTACTCAGATCTGAAGATTGTATAGCGTGAAACTTTGAATAACGACACGATTCAAGTTCTATTTTAATTTTTCTATATCGCTATTTCTATATATGTATTGAGCACTATTTTAACAGTGAAAATATTTTATTATTGTATCTTATTATGCTTTCCATATTTGTTACAAGGTAGAATACTTATATAGAACAAAATGTAATAGAATGCGTCATGACTTTATTGTAACTTTCCTATTTTGTACATTCGACGATGTTGCAATGATCATCGAAAGAAGAATTGTGCCAATTTACGACATTGTAACCTTTACTGTGGAAAGTTTAATCAATCATTGTGTTATATTAGTAAAAATTTCTGATATTGTATTAGATCAGTGTAGACATGTAAGACTGGGGTGATTGGTGTAGTTCAATATTGAAACTGTGTCTGACTTCACGATCACAGAGAAACCTTATATTTACATATCAATTAAAATGACAAGTAGTATAGCAAATATAACATATGCTTGACCATGCATGATATATTTCTATTTGTTACGCTTTGAAAATTTACGATTTTTTGTATTAAAGTTGTTTTGAAATGAAATATAGCAGACGTTTGTTCTCGGTAAATAAATCAAAGACAAAAACGGATTCAACTTTCTATTATATGTTACACCAAGAGAACGCCCAAGAAAGCCTTTTGTTTCAAATACGTATTCATATTATATCGGAACAAAATACGTTTTAATTTTATTGTTGCGAGTATCATGCATAACCAAATCAATATTGAAAACTATAGGGAGACTAAAAATCTTAAAACAATCACGATATGGTGTCTATTGTTATATCAATAGGAAGAAGTATACATATATAAAATTATTGGCAATGGGATCAGAAGTCTGTTCAAGTACGGCCGTCTATTGTTGTGTCTTGAATAGTGAAAAGACGGCTAACGTGAGGCTTAAGATTAAATATAGAATGAGAGATGTTTCCCCGTTTCCTTTTCAATTATTGCTAGCCACGATAGTAATATACACCAAGAGGTTGCTCACTATTGATGCCGGGTAATTTTCTAATTGGTAATCTGATATCTTTTTTTCTTTTGCAGTTTTTTGTCATCAAGATGGATTAGAAGGCATAAAACGTGATTGATTTCAATAGAGTTAGAATAGAAAGACGACTGTATTCGTTAAAGATGGAAGGACGAGCGAGAGAATTACTATTGATACTGTCAACATTAACTTTATGTGCCTTGTCGATTGCCCAACAAATGCAAGCGGTATTTCATCTAATGGAATCTAAACCTTCAGGCACATTGGTTGGTAATATTGCAGCGGAAACAAACATAGCAAGAGGTATTTCAATCTCTGGATTTAAAAGTCTTCGGTACAGTTTTCTAAATCCCAATGACGTTGATATTGCTTCATTGTTTAGTGTTGATTCGACAACGAGTGATATCACCTCCAATAAACTTATCGATCGTGAAAAAGTTTGCGAGTTCACTGCCGATTGCGTCTTGACATTTGATGTTAAAATAAACTCTTTATTAACTTCATTTTTTGAAATAGTGACGATAAAAATTATAGTCGATGACGTCAACGACAATGCTCCCATATTTCCAGAATCAGAAATTACAGTATTTATTCCCGAAAATGTCAACCCGGGTACCATGTACCGTATTGATGGTGCTACTGATAAGGATAGGGGCAAGAACAATTCCGTCCAATCATACGAAATGATTTCAAGTGCCAACACATTCGGTTTAAAAGTGGACAAAAAATTAGACGGAACCTCTGACGTTCGAATCATTGTCAAAAATGTCATAGATCGAGAAAAGAAAAACTACTATCGGTTCTTTATTATAGCTAAAGATGGGGGAAACCCACCTTTATCCGGAAACGTTACAGTCAACGTAAATGTATCAGATGAAAATGACAATGCTCCGGAATTTTCAGAACAGCATTATGACGTCTCAGTTACGGAAAACACCCCTGTGTATTCTGTGATTGCCAAAATTCACGCAACTGATCGCGATAGTGGAATGAATGCTAAAGTAGTATATCGTTTTAGTCCACATAAAAGTCCCGAAATTGAGAAACTTTTTGCTTTAAATCCAGAGAACGGTGACATAAGTGTACGAAATGAACTCCAATACCAATCCGGAAATCAGTTTGAAACAATTATCGAAGCTTCTGATCAAGGTGTTCCAGAGCAGGTATCGCAAGCGAAATTGACTCTCCGGATATTAGACGTTGGAAACAATCCACCTCTTGTGACAATTAATCCAGTTTCATCTGGTGTTGGAGATATGGTTCTCTTATCAGAAGGTGCTCGAGTAGGAACTGTGGTTGCACATGTTAATATTGTGGATAAAGATGTTGGACCTAATGGACAAGTGCAGTGTAACTGTCCACACGATTTCTTCTCGGTTCATCGTTTAGAGGGACGTGGATATATTGTTCAAGTGAAACGTATTCTGGATCGTGAACGTAACGATGAACATAAAGTCATGGTTATTTGTCGAGATTCGGGAACACCTCGTCTTTCAGCCAGAGCAAAATTCACTGTGCGACTAACCGATATGAATGATGAACCCCCTGTGTTCACAAAGAGAGTATTTGAGACAAGTGTTGAAGAAAACAATGTAATCGGGCGACCCATTATCCGAATATCTGCAAATGATGCCGACATAGGAAAGAATGCCATAGTTCAGTATCACCTCAATCTCGCTGATGACTCAATGTTTAGGATTAATCAAAATACAGGAGAGATCGTTGCCAATGCTCGGTTTGATCGTGAAACCATGTCCGAAATGAAATTTACTGTACGTGCTGTAGACGAAGGTAATCCTCCTCTAACCGGAACAGCTGAAGTGTTGGTCCGCATTATTGATGAAAATGACAATAGGCCGACATTTGACGCATCATCTTTAGTATTTTCCATCAACGAGGACAAGAAACCAGGAAGTGAAGTAGGGATACTTAGAGCTAAAGATGCTGATTTCAATTTTAATTCGGATGTCGAATATGCAATGCTTGTTAATGGTGCTGAAAATGTTCCTTTTGCTGTGTTCTCGAACGGTGTTATACGAACAAATAAAGCTTTGGATTACGAGGAACAAAAACGATACTCGTTTAATATCATAGCAAAAGATAAAGGAAGACCACCATTAAACACTACGGCAAGAGTTTTGGTTTATGTGATGGATGCGAATGACCATAGTCCTATTATTGTGTTTCCTAACTCTCATAACGACACGATTACGGTTACGTCTGACACGGAACCAGGTACAGTGATCACGAAAGTTGTAGCTAAAGACAGAGATGAGGGTGATAATGCTAGATTATCGTACTACATTAACAAGGGAAATGTTGACAATACATTCCACATTGGATCCAAATCGGGAGAAATCGTATTAGCTCGCAGACTTATGCTTGACGAACGTGAAGACTATCATTTAACTGTATCGGTACAGGATCAAGGGAAGACCCAACAGGCATCTCAAACGTACCTTACTGTGAGAATCATTTACGTGAACGTAACGTATATTGACAGCACGCACGAAGACTTGCGGTATATCATCATAGCCGGTGTCGTAACAGGTGTAACGGTTATACTTTCTATTATAATCGTTGCCGTTATATTGTACGTCCGCAGATCCGACAATCAGCGACGTCATGGACAGACAATTTGTGTTCAAGAACAAGGCGACAATCGTCATCCAGAAAAACAGTTATGGCACAGTATACCCGAAGACGAAGTAGTGTCTGTTCCTACCGAAGATAAGATAAACATGGACAGTATTTTAAAAGACTCAAATTGTGATAAAAAGGGTAGCTTGTCGTTTGATAGTGGAACTGAACATGACGATACATGTTATAAAACAAAACCAATGGATCATTATACTGGTCAACAATTCTTCACTTTTAAGAAGGTCAGTTGATTTTTTTTATATAGCATTTTGCACACCCAAATATCATTTCTTTACTCGTATATTTCATTGCATTCATTCGTCATCATATTCGATGATTTTAAACTCAACATATGCCGAGACAAAAACCTTAACTTGAAACAGATTCCCCAACATTCATTCACAATGAAGCTGCAGAATACTACAAGATGTCCAAGTAGTTATTTGTTTCGCAGTTGAAGCGTGTTAATGAACCTATCCAGTGGAACGTATCCAAAACTACTGTTATTTTACCGTTTCGATCCTTGATAGTCCAACAGATGGTTTAATGTATAGATTGATCACAGCCATTCTTGGTGGGATTGATATGAAGTACTTGAATCATGTTGTTACTCAGAGCCTCATGCCATGCGATTTTCAGACAACTCATATTCAGCCGGCGCTTTACAATTGTATTGAGCACTATTTAAAAGGTAAATATAGATCAATATTGAAATATAAATGACCAATATGCGTTTTACGAATATAAACTACATACTGCAGATATGATATGGGTATGCAAGCAAATATGAACGAATGCGATAAGAGTTGTTCGACACAATTTGATTGATAAAAATGCAATATGCGTTAACAATTGATAGGCAATTAATCATATCGCCACACTGTATTGCCTTCTGCGTTAAGCGAACTTTTTGTTGGAAATTCAATACTGACTTTCGCACCTTGGGAATGTCTTTCAGGAACATCAAATGTTCATTGTATTTGGTAGTCGTTGCGTTAAATTTCAATTTGAAGTAAATTAGCCAATGATATCTAATAGTATGAAGAATAATTTCCTGAAGTTCATGCTGGTCACTTTAATCATCATTACTTGATCGTGGTGTAATTGAATTGTTTCCCTAAAGCTTATTAATCATGGTTACCATCCATTGCTCATTTCATTCATAATCCTATCAACAGTTTTATTGCGTTAAGTTACATTGATGAACTGGCAATAACTGTGATGGGACAATGAAACTATCTCTGAAACGTTACTAAGAGCAGACTGGTATCCGTTTTGTTGCATTGAAATGGTTCAAATGTCCGACAATGTACAATGTAGTGTTGCAGCAAGTCCTGGGGAAAAAGGCCATATCATAGAATATCAGTTAGTACTTATTTTTTGTTCAAGGTAGTGTTTCAATATTAACTTGCACCTGGCGGCCGAAAGGGACTCTTATCCTTGACAATTTTATCGAAAATTATGTACAAATCTTTATGGAAAAACATACACATGGATTTTAAAACTTCTTTAAAAACCAATCAAAACAATGGATAAAATACGTTATATAAATGATCATCATCTAGAATGTAATTCGTGTTCTTGTAAGTATAATCTTTCCCGTTTGCTAGCCAACGCTCGTATACCTTCTGATCATTTCACTTGTCTGCCATTTGCTAACTTGTAATGATGTAGAAAAGAATATTAAAAACATAAATCGTGTATCTTGGACATCATAATACCTACTTGATTCTTCCTGTCTTTGAATGTCTATTAGTGAAGCTTATTTTTATATGCTGGTTAACCATTACGTTGATCGTCGTTAATGTTTATTATCCCCTTACAACAGATCCTTAATTTATACTGAAGGACTGGAATATGAGGCGCACCACCGGTTCCATTGCAGTTGCATGCTAATTTTATGCATTTTGGTTATTCTGTGATTGCAAACCTACAGCACACATGGTCTTGTAGATGTGTGCTTTAGACTCATGTTGATTTCATGTATGGGTATATGCGATTAGACTCTGTCACTTAGATATGTTTTACCACAATTTCGGGATATATAAGGTCACATCTTTGGGTTATCGATTTTAAGATTATTATGTACATCTGATTGATTTTATCAAGTAATGTAAGGTTGAATATCAGAAAAACCAACAGTTATGGACAGAAACTGTTATTGTATATGTCTACACCTCCTTGTCCAGGCCTTTTGATCTCAGTATTCTATCGAAATTTATAAAATTATGGAAAGAAGTCTAGATCATTTAGAAATTAAATGAATTTTGTAAAAGTCCCATTTACAACAAATTTTAGATTGTTGGTTTATGTTATTATGACATTTTTGTCACTATCTCATTGATCCGATACATCGAATTAGGTGAGTAATGAGATAAAACTCATTAACACTTGATTAGAGTAATTTTTCACGCCAGTATCCTGGTCAGAATAAATGGCTGGATTGCGTGTCAAGCACAACTGGCACATGGACCTCTGATCTTATTGGGTTGATTAAATAATATTAAGAAACAATTTTTTAGACTTAGCTATAGTAAAAACGAATTATGTCTGTGTCTATCATTTAATCTAGTAATTCGAAATTCGTTCTAAAGCCGCTGTGAATAATGACTCTTATGAAACACTTTGGATGCACTGTGATGAATAATGCGTGCATGTGTAATGCTCATTTATCCGTATTTTACATGATTTGTCACCCAAAGTGGTCCTTTCTTTTAATCCATGCTTTTATTCTTCACTCTTTTTTTGAAACACATCATGTGTTTTCATATTTTTTTAGAAAAAAAAGAACTGTTCAATTGGAATGTCCGCAATAAAATATGAATTTGCGTGTCAGAAATATGTAAATGATGTTAAAATTGACGAAAGTTATGAAAAAATGTGATTAATGATAGGAAAAGTCAAGTGCTAGACACGTATGTGTATCACTTAGGTCCAATTGAGCTTGTTAGTTGAAGAAAAACCAGTCTTCACATCAAATTATAACTCCCAACTCCAACAATTCTGCCATATCATCAGCGATTTATTGTTAAAATCAAAGTCAGAATAATAATATAAAGTGCGGCCACTATTTAAATAAGCTAGTCACATAATGTATATTCCTTGAGACTATATGCCACTTGAAATAGTTCAGATATCAAGGTAGCATTGCAATATATTGTTCCATGGCACGTAATTTATCATGTACTCCGGTACATTAATTCAATGTTCTATGACCAGTCTGTGTACTGTTTGAAAACAGATCAAGAAAAGTTGAAAAAACTGAAAAAGCAATATAACATATTACATGCGCCAAGATTCCTTTAAGCCAAGGCAACCTGCTGTATCAAATAGAAAAGGAAATTCTTTGTCTGATCACTAGACCAAAATCAAACAGCAATTTGATTGATCGTGTGAGAAACATGATGAAAAATTAAACATTTTCCTCCATTCTGCGATACGGCACATAGCTTGGCGTTACCAAATTGATCGAGTCATAATGATGAAGGCAAACGAAATTTGTTTTTAATCCACAGTAATTTCCCAGAAGAAGAAAAAAATCTCTCATTGTCACCAGGAAAAGACCCCATTGACATTGTAGAATGAATCAACACAGGACCTATTTCTTAGCTAGACTTGCTCGTAATAACCTTCGTGATTCGACATTCATCTGTCTTTCTTTAGATATGTTTGCTTCAGTGATTTGCTCTAAGATGTGTTTTCTGATTTCATGGAATATTCAGGATTTTAGTTATTTTCAAGTCTTCCCAGACAAAGAATTCTTTTTCTCCGAACTTAGTTTAAGAGAGCACGGAATTATTTGGTCCAGTTGAAAAGTGCTTGACCCTCAAGTGGATCTTCATGTTATTGACTTTGAGCTTTGATTATATGCTGTAAGTTTTTAACCAAAGATTGTATATTCTTACTCTTTTCAGAACACCATAATTATGTAACTTAACCGTAAAGCGCAAGTAAATTTCATCGCGTGCTTTTGAAAAACATCTTATGCGATTTATGCTGATTTTACACCAAGAAAATGCCCTTTTGGTACACTACTTCCCTAAAAAAACGTTGTTATCAACAAAAGCTCTTTATAATTCTAAAACCTGCTAATTGATAACTATTTCAAATCCAGCCGACTTCTTCAGAAAAAATAAAAAAATGATGAATTACTTAGACCCGATAAAAATTTGCCTATTGATTCGGCTTCAAAGAGATTTCTTAATAATGTCATAATCGACAATTTCTTTAACAATACAAAATTTTCAATTAGTCTTAAAGAAATGATTGATGACTTTGTACTCGTACGATCAGGTGAGAAGTGCTAGACCTCGACCCACTAGCTTCTGTAGAATTATGTAAATAACCTCTCGAGATCTATATCTTGTCTAAGATGATAGAAAACCAAATCTCGTATCAATAAATAATTGATTAACTTTTTATTGATTTGGCATAAAAACTGTGTCTTAATTGGAACCCTGGCCACAAACCTAATGGAAAGGGTTGATACCACATAAATAAAGAGTTATAAACATATATCTCATCGTGTGGCCTACTTCTCTTTCTTGACATTTGTTCTCTAAGAAGACGGCTCTAAATTCATTGTGACTTAGTTATAATTTTAATAGTTGAGAGATCTGTATGTTATATCAGTTATCTGGAAGCGGTCGTGTGATCTACCACCACCATCTATCTTCTGAACTATAGTCAACTTGGATTGCATTTTATCACCTAGACGTCCCATAATTTGACTGTACAATCACAAATGGATTGTCAGATCATTTTGGGTTGAGGTGCCCTAAAAAGGATTGTAAGATATGCATGGAAATTATTGTTGGTATCAGGTGCTCTTTTAGGAGTCAGCTTTCCGTTCAAATCATTTTTGGTATCAGGTGTCTTATGTTCAAAACATTTTGGTATCAGGTGTTTTATGTTCAAATCATGTTTGGTATCAGCTGTCCATATCAGGATTGTCAGATATGCGTTTAGAACAATTCTTGTTTGAGGT